CGATCTTCTCGTCGCAATCCGATCATTGGCCGTAGCGCTTGTCAAACAATCATCCGTAGAGATCGTTATAAGCACTCAACCAACCGTTTGATCGGGTCCGAATTCGAAGCCGCTGATCGAAAATATTTCTACCTTGGTCTCCGATTCTCCCCACACATGACGTGACCATCTAAACTTTGTCTGAAAACTTGGGCAAACCACAATGCCTGAACGCCAATGGCGCCCACAACCTGCTCTTAGACTAAAGTACGCTGGCGGTTCATTCGTCGAGGCTGTTTAGAAAAACTTCATGCGCGTCAAATATTCTTTCAGAAACCTCAGATAGGCGACAGCACTATGAAATTGACGACGTAAATACAACCAGCATCACTTCATCGAGTTATCAACTAAGTAGTCAACGACCTTGCCACGTGTCGTCGTCGTCATTCACGGTGTAGCTTTCGGACACTATGTCGGCGTTCCCCGATCGCAGGATTTACTTTTTTCGAAGTGGCTTGTCCATAAGCTCGTCGAATAACGAGTTTTACATCGCGATGAACAAAGCTTTTTACTTCTTCCATTCACGTACCGTCGGTGCGAATCGGCCGTCATGGTGGCGGTCCGCTTATCCCTGCAATCACCCTGGAGCCCAAGCAGTTAGAATTGGGCCAACGCACTAAATGGTATAAAATTGCAATGTGTCTTAATCAACAGAATCACCTCATGTGTGCACCATCGGAATAGCATTCTAGCGTTCCATTATCATTTCTCGGATCGATGGTAGTGGATGTTTGGTGTTGTGATGGTCAACCAAACACTAACCGTCAGATGGATAGAAAACGATTATGATGGAAAGTCAGAAAGCGCAAGCAAGCATTGATAAAAAAGCCTGATAATGACCGCAACACAAACAGCTATTAAAGTGATCGATTTCTTATTGGAGGGCAAACACGGTTAGCAGAAAGCCATCCTGTCATTTCTTCATGGGTCTTCGGATAAAAGCATGGGAAATAACATATTGAAAGCATTGGTAAATTTGGAACAATACAGAGTCTCACAAGATGTTATGCTTAGTTTCATCGGCTTGCTTCCGCAAACTGAGTGGATCACTACTGCTTTAGACGAAATGCTCAAGAAACCAGAACGTTGGTGTAGCTGGGCGGTGGCTTTCTATCTCCGTCAATGTATATCGCATAGTAATGGAAAGGCACAAATGCTAGCTGAAATTTCGTGGATCCAGCGTCTGAGTAGTATGGATCGAGCCATTGCTAGCAGTGCACCAGTCACAATCACGTCGGCTGTCGGCGACAACTTGCTTTACGTCGCAAGCGGTTCCTATAGACACAACAAAGAGAATGGTACACCATTTTGCTGGAAAGGTGAGTGGACACCAGAATATAACAAAGAGTTATGGCGACTTAGTCCTGCGCCAACAGGACCGTCTGATTTCTACATCGTTAGCGTATTTTCGGAAGAATATCTCTATGCCTCAAGTATCCCTCAGCTCGACAATGTCAACGGTTATTCACGTATGACTGTACTTGTTTGTGCTAAAAAATGTCTGCCTGATTCGGCTGGGATTTGGCGATTGGTAAAGCTGGACATGAACATGTGTGCATTGTATGATATCAATCAAGGATCTTTTCTTAGCTCTCCGGCGGAGGCTGCCGACGGATCTCGTCGTGCAGTTGTTACGAGCACGTATCAGCCTCTTAATGAGAAGCAATCCATGTTCCGTGAATGGAAAATCACTGCATCATCGATACCATTGTTGGAGCTCGCGATGCTCGAATTTTTCAACAAGGATTACAGCAGAGCCGTGCAGACATTTACATCGATCATTTCTGAGGAAATTATATCTATTGCAGATCGCAAGAAAGCACTTTGCTATCGAATGGTAGCGAATTGGATGATCAATGATAAGATATGTGCTGACAGAGACATTGCACTTCTCGAGCCTTTGGGTGGGTGTCCAGAATACTTTTTGGTCACTCTATACGGAAAGCTAGCAGTCGAAGAAAGAAAGCTTTTTGAACGTTTCACAACGATCTCGCTTCAAAATAGAGCAGAAAAGTACTAACCACTTTAGGATATGAAATTTTCTCAATGCACATTTTTAAATAACGTGGTGACTTGATATCAGCCGACACTCGGCAATGGCTTGAAATATTGATTGTGACAAGCAATCTACTGACGATCACTTTTTAATAAGCCGGAGTACATTTCAGCTTGTCCAGAACGCTCAAAAGAAGAGATTGTACCTATGAGGTTGACTTTCATTAGCAGACAGGAGTTCAGCAGGAATTATTGATGTTGCCTACTCGATGCAGCGACGATAGTGTAGATGAGAGTTGACCGAGTAAAGCAAATGAGACTTAAAATAAAACACGGCTAATAAACGGTCAATCTACCAGACGCCTTTAATTCAAAAGATTCGATGGTGTTTCTCTTCTTTGCTTTACCAATATAATCAGTATCGTGAAATCTAACTATATCTCTCACAATGAATCATCAAGAATCTACCATTTTATCGCCATCATTGGCGACTGAGAGGTATAGGCTGCTGTTGGTGTTGAACCGCTCCATAAATATCAAGGTTATCACTCAAGGCCTATCAGATTGATCATGTCATGCTTCTATATTTGCCATCACGTAGCTGGTTCGGTACCGCTCAAAGCCACCGTGTAAGACAGTGAGTCTGTCTGTGCAACAGTTATCGATGATCAGCGTTGTTAACTGCGTTTGCTGGTGTCCAAATCAACAATCTTGACTCCACCGAAAACATCTATCTGTGTGCTACGCGGTGATGGGATGTATTTATATTTCAACAAGTGGCTTTTGAATTATTCGAATCTTTGAGAGATTCAATAAGTGTGAGCATAAACCTAATGATCATATATGAGGAGAGAATAAAAAGGTTGTGGACTATGGACAATGGCTTTGTTACAAATAGTAATACGCGTTGATATACAATGGCTTTATCACAAATAGTAATATGAGCTAATTACATAACATATACGATGAGGTGTTGCTGAAGGGCTGCCGGGTATTTAAGTACTTATGGCTCTAACACGCGTCAATAGAAATGCTATGGACAAAATCAAAATACCCAACGGTAATTTATGAAAAAAAAAAGATTTTTCAGCCGCACCTATGACTTCAGTGGTATACAAATACTGGATGAGAGCAACTCGTTGCAAGAACTATTAAGAATGTGTTAGGCAGTCAGCGCGTGTCAATCCAAAAGATTTTTAAAAAGAAGTCAAGCAAGGCTTTTTGAAAGTTAAAAACACTTTCATGCGTTAGAGCATCGAAAGAAAATAACTATGCTCATTCAAAAATAACTTGAGCTGCAACAATTTATTGCTAATAAGTCACAATTCTGCCAACCTCAAGCGAAGATCTTATAAGCAGTCAAGGCGACGATTTGGTGTCTCCATAAATGATGTGCACAATGGAGTCGAAGGCAGAGATCCTGCTTATATATTGGACTCAGTTTGAGCACCGAGCGAAGGCATACGTTGCTCCGCCCATCTCAATACTTGACAAGCCAGTTTCATTGAAGCGGACACCCGCCAATATATTTTCTCATGCTTGGCTTTGTCATGACAAAGCGGACATTGTGTCGACGTCCCATTGCCTCAAGTTTATAAGCTTGTTGGTCTACATGTGACAGCGGTAACAGGTATGGAACATTCACTGCATGGCCCATCGCCTCAAAAAGTGAGAAGCGCTGTGTTGGGCGACCCTGTTACTTCTCATAAGAAAGAAAGGCCGATGGCGCATCATGTCGCTAGCGGCCATGGGCCAAAGCAGCATTGCCGATGTAAAATCTTAAACTTTCGCGAGAATTTCGCACTAAAAACCATTCCAGCGCTTTGCCAGGTACTTGTTATAACCCTCATACATTTGCTCGGTCCAAGGTAAAGTGGCCCGCCTCGATTATCTGGTAGTGCCACCCTAGGCTCTCGTAAAATCTTCAGCATGTCGACTTTCTGCAAGGGCTACTAGACCGAGTTGAGTCAGGGGTTCGAATGTTATTTTGATATCTGTCAACACACTGCCTACTCACCATTGCGTTGCTGATTTAGGGCAGAGCATGGCTACTGAGGGTAGTAGAGCCACCGCTTCGTCTACAACAGAGGTCCTCACTTCTAAATCGTATTTGTGTAATCGCGAAATAACTTTATTAAGCAAACAAACGAGCTCTGAACGTGTTTGGATCCGCCTTGGATTATTCACAGTGTGACTGAATCTCTTTTGTTACGTTTGCGAGCGGTCCGATGGAGCGCAATTGCAACTTAGTATCGGTATTGCATGTTTTGGTGAGTTATTAGAACTCAATAAAACCTTTCCCGATGACATATTCGTGTGTGCAATGTACGATCGGTATTTTGTTTATGTTTGTCTTGGTTATTAGCCATAGAGCCGCGCACCAATTGCATGACTCTAAATCTCATCGAGGTAAAGTCGCTGATTTTGATACAACGTGTTGTGGGGCTGATATCAGCAAGTCACTTCTGAAAAAGAAATTCTCTTCTACAAAGACCGAGACGGCTTTGTGGTGGCGACAAGTCCCCGAATGCCCACCAGACCAATTATGTAGGTTTGGGTAATGCTTGTAGAAACATGCAGCGCTTTATTTCGTCGCGCACCAGTTGCATAACGGTCCTTCTCATTGCCATGACTTCTAATTTTGCTTCAAAGTTTGCAGGACTGATACCAGCAAGTCGATTTTGATCAACAGCCTCTCCAATACAGATAATGAAGCTTCATCCTGGTGGTGCAACGTGGCTGCCGCAGCTAAGCGCTTGAGGAAGCGTACTTAAGGTCACCGACCTTTTGTTCTTTCCAAGAGCCCAGTATGAGTTAATGGATCGCAATCCGCTTACTCCAAGAGTAATTATTGCCTTCCCAAGGCTAATTGACTC